TATATATATATATATATTTGGTTAAATATTCATTTTAACTTTATTGGTTTGCACATTTTTGGTCCCTAAAGTATTTTGTGCACATTCTTTATCTCTCAATTTTAAGAAATGCACAACGTTTGTCCTTTCGTCACTTAAAACCATTAACTTCACCCATGTGGCATTTTTTATATATATATATATTTTTTATGATATGGCGAAAACAACTTAAAAAGGTGATGATCTGGACATTCTTTTATGACATGTCATAATGCCAACTCATATTAGTATTTATATTTTCAATAAAAAATAAAAATTACAAATTGACCTTAATACCTCTATCTTCATTTCTTGATCCATCTTATTCCCCTCTTTCGATCCATTTTCTTCCTTTCTTTCTTCCTCTTCTTCCTTTTCCTCCTCTGTGTTGTTAGGTTCCCTCAAACCCAGTTGATCTGGGTTCAAGGGAACCCAACTCGGGTTTGATGGAACCTAGGCTGGGTTCCACCGAACCTAGCTCCACTATTTTTTGTTTTTTTTTTTTTTGTTATACATTTGTTGCGAAGAGTTTATGCAAATTGCAGGTTGTGAGGGATTTTTGGGATCCTTTTGCTAAGTTTATGCAAATTGCAGGTTGTGAAGGATTTTTGGGATCCTTTTGCTTCATATTTCCTAACTATTGTCTAAATGAATTTAATGTTCAAAAAGGAAAGAACATTATCGGTGATGGAAAGAACAGAACCATTGATCGATGGGCAAAGAAGCAATTTTTAGTGGGTTTCCATTTGTTTGGCTAGAAAATTGTACAGTTTGGGTGTTTGGCTGCTGAGAAAATGGTTTCGATCTATTTTGTAAAGAAAATTTGATGAGGAAATTGTGATTTAATTATAAATTAATTTAGAATCTTAATTTTGATTAACATAAGTAATTATAGTTTAATGATGATTAATTAGTGAAATATGTGAAAAATCTTTGGAATCACCCTCTGAGAAAATCTCTGCAATCTCAAAGAAAATCTAGGTTTGGGTTCGAAGAAAATTTCTATTCTATAAGTTTTTGGATTTTTTTTACTGCTGAAAGAGAAACCCAAAATATATCTTTCTTTATCGGTGGTTTTTGTAGGTAACATGGACTCATTGGAGGGGCTTTGGCGTGAGAAGATGACATGTCATAAAAAAAAGATTAGATTAGCACCTTTTTAAATTGTCTTCTCCATGTCATAAAAAAAATATAAAAAATACCATATGGCGGAGTTAACTGCTTAAATTGATGGAAAAACAAACGTTGTGCATTTCTTAGAGTTGAAGAATAAAAAATGTGCACAAAATACTTTAGGGACCAAAAATGTGCAAACCAATAAAATTGAGGGACCAAAATGAGCATTTAACCTATATATTAATATCTAGTGCTTATTCAATATATATATGAGTATTATACAAAAAATACAATTCTATTCAATATTTAGGAGGCATTATACAAAAAATATAGTCCTATTCAATATTAAAGTTTAAAAGGCAGATCCAAAATATGTCTAACCAAGTACAAGAAGAAATTGGATCGGAATTGATTTTTATTAATTAGGAACAAATTATTAATGAAGAACAAATTAGCAACTAAGAATAGACTTTGATGTTCTTGATGTTCTTGATATTCTTGTCTTTGTAGTTTTAATGGTTATGAGGATACCTTAATTACTTGGTTTTGATTTTCAGTAGGCATTCTTATTTTTTTTTAAATGATATTTTATACGATATCCTATGACGTAACTTACTATGTGTCGCATAATCTAATTTTTTACACAAGTGCCACCAAAGTGAAGGATTAGAGAGCTTGAGATGAAAAAGGGGAGAGCAAGAGTAAAGAAGAGGAAAAGTTGAGAGAAAGTGAAATTGATGAGAAGTTGAAATTGATGAGAAGTTATGGTTTAAATATTTTATTTATTTTTACTTTTAGAATTATGAAATTAGAAATATAACATTAATTTTTAAGTAATTTAATAAAAATAAGTAAAAAAAAATTTGGATAATTTCGGGTGACTTGACCCACCCGTGACCCAACCCATTTGGGTTTGGATAATTTCAGACCAGTTATTTTAAATTTTGGATTAACACATAGAATCCATAACCCTACCCATAACAGATGAGTTGAATCAGATTTTCAAATTGGATTCAATTTTACCAGGTCTAACCGGAGGTGACAGAAGAGGAATAAAAATATAGGAATAAAGATATCGATGGAGCTTCTTCTACGCAAAACTTATGTCACAGGTTACAAAGAGAATCAACTTGTACTAATACACAATACGTGTGTGCCTCCCATAAGGCCAAATGCGCAGTCTCTTTTGTCTTTTCAAGTTTCAACTAATTAACTACAATGTATGTGTTCCTTTAAACAAGAACAGATCTTTACAGATGATCCAATTTAAAATCGATTGCGATTTGCGAACAATTAACAGTAGATTTATACCTTTGTATCTTTTCTTACAAGTTTATCAATACAGAACAACATTGGCAGAGCTAGGGGGGACTAGGGGCCTCCCGTCCCCCTAAACGTTTGAGAAAAAAAAAAATAGTTTTAATACCATGAGTTTTATTTCCATTATTTTCATCCGTGTATTTTTCAATTTCATCCTATTGTAGTCCCTTTTAAAAAAAAAAAAATCATTTAAAAAAAAA